TATTATTTAGTACTTTTCAGTGTTTATCCACAGTATTCCTGATTTTGCGCCACTACCCATAATTCATAGCAGAAGCAGGTTCCATATTTCCGCTTGGCTGTTTTTTACAATTACGTGGATACACCGTTGCTGTTTATCAAAGCATTTTTCATTGAAATTTGGCTTAGATGGCCACATATCGGAGGTGTGTGTACTGTAAGGATGTTTTAAAAAGCTGCAAGGACAATTCTTTATCAGTGGCTCAGCTGTCACTGCTCACAGACTGATGAAGCTATATGTATTTGATTATGSCTTTTTTGTCATTGTACAGAGCGCAAAGAAATTACATTTAGGAACACCCATTCAAGAAGACAAACACGAAAAAAAATCCTGCCAAGATGTAAACAAAATATTTTAGCACATAGTTGAGAAGAGGATTGTTTATTACTGTATTCCGAGCTTATTCAGAACTGAGACAGTTAAATTAAGTCATTTATATAGTTTTGCCAGCATGTGGCTACTAACTATAGGCATAATATTTCTTTAAATTTAAGATTAGCTGCAAATAACATGCTAAACAACCAGGCTAACAGTAGCTAGCGCTGATGCTAAAGCAATTCACCGTAGGCTTTCATTCAGTAAAAGCAAAGAATTGCACGATTAAATAACAACAGGGGAAACACAACGTTTACAGTTTAACTCACCAGGTACAGATTCAGTGTTTTAGTTGATATTGCTGGAAGCTGTTTGACTCACAGTGGTTCAGACGAGACACCTTCGATAACCAGCCTTAGCCAAGATAGAGCTCTGGATCGGAGTGAATATTTGTGGGATTTTTGTTGATAAAATGAAAAATAGGTTGTGGGCGGGGCTAGCGTTTGTCATGGCAGCCTACATGCACGTTTCCAGAAACTTGTGGATAAGAGGATGTGTTAAAAACAGTGTTTCTATGCATGAAATACCAGGTAGACCCCTAATTTGCACTAGATGCATTACTGCTCCACTCTTGATCAAAGCATGGAGGAGGTCCGAGAAGCAGGGCAGGAAATGCGCGATCGCTCAATAAATCCAGTGATAAATGTGGAAGTCAKAACTARATAATTCATTTCGTAGAAGATGGACTAAACACAGTTAAAACTACGTCCCTATTCTCTTTTKKAAACTTCTGATTTCAGAATAAAATCCATGTGTTTTGTGTTTATATTCTGCATTCTACATGTTGCCATCTGCTTCCCAAACAGAACAATACATTTTGACAGCATTTGTGTATAAATATGCCAAAATATTTATTAATGTAGCTAGGATTTCAACAAAAAATAGTCAACCTTTGCCTTTTTTTATCTATTTTGAAAATACAGATGTTGTGCTTGTTCCTTTTCCTGTTGGTGTGATGTGATCTTTGTAGATTGACTCCGGCGCAGCTCAGGCATCTGGCAAAAATAGGATCAGATCTAATTTTGGCGTATCGCTGTCTGCTCACTGCCCCTGTGCGATGCCGTGTGAAGCCAGTGCAAATACTCTCATTGATTATAATGRTTGCGTTTTTGCTGCAGAGGTCGGGCTGGAGCATCTAGTGTAAATTAGGGCTGCCACAAACGATTATTTTAATAATCGATTAATCACCGATTATTTATTCGATTAGTCAACTAATCGGATCATAYGTTAATTGAATATAAAACATAGAGCTTATCGTGCCAGAATGCAGCTGCTRTTATATAACCATGGTTAGATTTTAGCTATATGCTAACTAAAAATAATTGCTGTGGAAGGCAAGTTCTGCTCTGCAGATATTGYACAGGTTTCTCTYTCATTTTCTTAAAATGATCCCACACTTTTGAGCTCCGTTGTCAGGTAGCCATGATATCAGAGCCTGTCTGTATAATGTCTTGTGACGTCCACGGCCTACACCAGTTACCACTACTGTGCATGTGTGTCAAGGACAGAAAGGTAGATGTGGCAGTGGAAGGTGTCAAAGCAGTTTGGAGAGAAAAACAAAGTAAAGAACAACAAAAAAAGGTAAACGATTAATCGATTATTAAATTAGTCATCGATTATTTTAATAATCGATTAGTCGTCGATTAATCGATTAATCGTGGCAGCCCTAGTGTAAATTAGGGGTTATTGTTAGCGGTGCTCAGCAGTAGCAATGAGACGAGGATCGTGATGTTTCATGTTTGGTTGAAGTTAATTACACCTGGCTCTTTGAGGGCCATTTTAACGCTCATGAAATTAAAATATCTACCCAGATATTCAGCCGATTTGTCTCCTCTTATGTCATGATGTTCCTAAAACATGAGTTTTACCTCACACACTCGTCCTAACTTCCTCTCTCCCTGTCAAGAACGTTAGATTAATTATTCTCCACTGGCCTCAGACAAGTGTGAAAATAGCACATCTTCAAACTTTTGCAAATCATCTATTTTTTTTCCCCTTTGGTGTTGAGGAAACACTTTTGCCAACTCGGCTTGGGGAAAAAGTTTAACGAGCCCGTCATTCAGGAGTTTGTGTCTTACAGTAGCTTCTAAATCCCTGCGGTGTTTTTAACCTAATTCTTGCATTCTTTGTCACCTTTCCTGGTGCTCCCTGATGAAGTTTTCCTACAGCTGCCTGTTATATAGGTCACTCAGGTGATTTATTTGGTTGTGTCTGAAGCATCGAGGGTTGAAGTTCACCATCGATWCGCTGCTTATTTTTGTTTTAAGCTTCCTGTCCTCACACTTCCACTTGCTTATATTTATGTCAACATTTTAAGTACTAATAAGGTTGTTTTTCTGTATTTTTCTTTCATTATTGCCTGGATTTCACACATTTATATGCTTTTCTTTTTTCAGAGAAACCAACTCCAGACGTTTCTGTGTGGTGAAGAGATTTGATTAATATAAACAATCTGTGTGTGTTTGTGTGTGCGCGCGCTATGAAGTGATAATTTAGGTCACTGAGCTTTCTGAAAGACGTCAAATCAATAAAAAACAGAAAAGGTTGTGTTAAAGGATAGTTTGGTGAAAATGTGCAGTCACTGCTTTTTACTTGAAGTATTTAAAAGAAAGTATACCCTCTTTAAATGTAAAAACTTTGCATATAAAGTTTTAAATGATTCAAATCTTACCAGAAAGTAAGTTCGATGGAGCATTTTAATATTCAGCTATAATGAAGACAAATCAGATAATCTGTGTAAAAACACTAAATCCCCCCACAATTCAGCAGCTTGTACAACCACCTTTAGCTGCAATAATTTGACGTTGTAATTTTCTTTATAACTATCAAAATAATTTACAGGAATTTTGGCCCATTTTTATTTTCATTTCTTCAGTTTATTGAGGTTTGTGGGCTCRACTCTCTTCAGGTCCCAGCCAAGGTCTGGACTCAGACTGGATTTAGCAAAACGTTCTGTTCTAGATTAGCTGCTGTGTTTGAGATTGTCATCCTATTGGACCCCGTTTGGTCCGAGCTTCAGCTGACAGACAGATGGACTCAAGTTTGACTCTAGAATCCTGAGTTCGTTCAGTGACAGACCTGCACCACCGGGCTGACAGCTGACCCAGGACCCTTGTGGGGTCTGAGCTGTGGTGGGTACAGTTCCTAGTAACAAAACTAGCTTGTCATTTAGCAGATTAGTTTTTTTGCTAACTTCGTTAGCGGATCAATTAGGTTCCGCTAATTTTAAGTCCACAAAAAATTTCGCAAGTGCTAAAATTGTATTTTTATACCATTTATCCTGAATTAAATAAAAACTATCCCCTCTTACAAGCAGTGTTGGACCTGTCAGGCACTGTGTGTGTAGCATGTAGCATCTTTAGCAGGTAAACGTCAAACTAAGAGCGTCAAAAGAAATAAAATAACATTTTCCATACTCTTCAAGATGTGGTGAACTTGTTGTCATTGTTGCAGTTTTGTGATGAAAATGGAGTTTTTGTTCTCTTATTGCCTCTGAGAACATATTCTGTGCTCAAGTTCCTGGCAGGACTTTTTTTGATGCAGGGTTACTCCACAAGTATCGTGTGATTGGTCAGAACTTTATAGTAAGGTTGGGCATAATCGTATCGTGTGCAATTAATTGTCAGAAAAACATTAGTCGATTAATTTTTGGCACTTGACAATTAATACGATTAATGCCAACAGGCAGAATCTGCTCGATGTTCCTCTCTGCTTCAAATAAGATGAACATTAAAAAAGTTCTGTAATTTATTTATCTATCGACACAATTTAAAATTTGATGTGTAGCTTAAAGTCTGTAATTTTGACACAATTTGGAACAGATTTTTACGAAGAGCAAATCTTTCCCAATAAATTGGTCATGTGACCAGGACATAAGGGTGTCCAGGGACTCCAGGGGATTAATCGTCAAATTAATCGTTATCGGCTAAATACCACAATTAATCGTGATTCATTATTTTACCAATATTGCCCAACCCTACTTTATAGCCATGTTTTGCAGAGAAGCGGCTGTTCTCAGCTGCTCTTCTATGGGGCAGCTGGTCGAGGATATTAAAAATACAGCCGTCTCATCATCTGTTCCAGTGAAACATTGGGAGGGTCAAAGAACTCGTGGAAGGAGACAGCGTGAAGACAGAGGCAGGTCTCACCGATGTTCTCGTGTTTTTGCTATTTGTGCTGCAGTGGGAGGGACCTACCAGTGTCTCCTGCTACGGTTTCTCTTCAGGTATAAAAGGTCGGTGTGAAAAGGAACCTTTCACAACCACGTGRGCGAGAACAGATGTCTTGTGTCTCGTTGAGCAGCCTTGAGCCAGAGCGCTTGGTTTTTTGACCTTTGACCTTGTTGGTGAATTTGCTGGGATGCCCACTTCTGAGAAGACTGGAAGTTGTTCTGAATGTTTTACAAATACTTTTTCACAGATTATTGTACATTTAAGTTAATTTTGAACCTGATCATTTTGTGTCCTAACACTTGAAACCATAAAACAGAAACAGGCTGTTCTTTCTTTTTACTAAAACCAGATCTAAAGAATGTTCAGTTGTTGTCCGGACCCCGACGCTCACTCTGGCCTTCTGTTTGTCTCCAGCTGAACGAGATGATACGAGCTCCGGTGGAGGGAGACTTCTGGCAGGTGGACCACATCCGGCCCGTCTACAGAGGAGGAGGACAGTGCTTGTTGGACAACCTGCAGACGCTCTGCACGGTCTGCCACAAAGGGGTACGTTCTGGCTCTGCATCACCTTTAGCAACCCCAGCAACTGCAGCAGCAGCAGCTTTTACAGCCAAAGGGCTCCGGGGGCAAAAGCAATTTGTTTGACATTTAAGGTGCACGCTGGATGAACCTCTCCTTTATCACGTCCAGGATCACATTCGGTGGCAGTAATGTGATACATGGTCGAACACATTGATCAAAAGTCATATTATCCCCCACCCTCAAAGCCATATATTCCCTGTAACACAGTCACATTGATGTATAGCACTTGTTGGAAGAAGGCTGTATATCTGTCCTSTTCCTTCTTCAGTATCTTCACTCACATTTTCCACAATTGTGAAAAAAATGTTTCAAAATAAAACAGCTTTTCAGTGTAAAATGCTCTTCGTCGTCACGCCAGAGAGCGTTTCGGGCCGAGTGGGTGTCAGCGTGGACGGAAAGGCTTCAWCCGTACGACGAGGAGAACTGTGCACGCCGATAAGGGCATCTCCTCGCGTTTTATGCCAGATGTGGTTTTTTTTTTATCTGTTCTGTTTTGTTTTTGTTTCCTCAGATTTAACCTCTTACGTCACGTTGCGTTTTTCTTCACAGCGGACGGCTCAGCAAGCCAAGGACCGCAGCCAGATGAGGAAGAGCGCCTCAGCCTCCAAGGTTGCGTCAGACATCAGCAGGTTCTTCATCAGGAAATGAAAGGACGCTGGTGGTTGAAGTAGGACAGGTTTCAGATTGTTAATTGGCCTGTTCTGGCCTCGCTTCCTGCTGGTCCTCATTACAGCRCAGGAGATTTACCTAAAAGTGGGGGGAAGGAAATAAAAAGATTATAATAATGTGACAACTGCGTCAAATGCAAATTCAGCCAACCCCCCACCCCACCTCGTCCCCGAACCGTCACGGGTGCGTTAGGTTTGATTTATGACGGCCCCCTTTTTTATTTTATATTTTTTCTTGCTCCAGGCTGAAGTAGAGCATGTTGTTTAGAGAGGTGCTTCTATTTTAAGATTTTGCAAACTTTGTAAGAAAAAAAAAGAGCAGGTAAGATGAATTGGCTTTAAGATGAAACTATGCAGCAGAAAAACTCAACCAGGTGGCCTCGTTGGTAATTTTTACATTTTTCGATGGATTTGAAGCGAATTAAACAAATATTTTCCTTAAATTTATGTTTTGTTTTAATTTCTAGTGCTTCAACTATGGTTTAAATGTTCTCACTAGTTGTGAGTTCATTGTTTCGCCTGTGAAGCTCACCTGTGTCCGTGCATCGCTGTGCTCGATGATCTGAGAAGAKTTAAAGTATGCGGGGCTATGTTTAGAGAGACGGAGAGCGGAGTTACTATGGAAACAAGGCTTTGGGTTCAGCCATGTCGGGAATATTGGATCTTTTTTTTTTTTTTTTTTTTGTCAGAGTTACACAATGAGCTAGACATGAGAAAAGTCCAATCAATATATTCTTCTGCAGCACAGTTTCACTTCCTCCCTCCTCCTCATTCGCCTTCCCACAATCCTCTGCCGTCCCACAGATGTCGTCGTGTCACAGTTTGTCTATCAGCGGCGTCAAACTCCTAGCTCAGCAAATCCCAACATTGCCAGAAAGTTTCCCATTTTTCTGACAGCCACCAAAAAAAAAAAAACTTCTTGCGGCCAATCGGGGAGCTCGGCTGG